ATAAGACAAATTATAATTTATATATATAGATGCGATGTATAAACACATCGCAGTAGGCGATGCATATATTTATCCTTTAATAAATTCATATTGTCCAATTATTTTTTTTTGCCGACGATAATAATTACTAAAATTTTTTTCTTTACTAAAGTCCCTTGAGTGGTTTCACTCATTATTATTAGCTATCGAGGAGCAAGATATTGAACAATTTATTGAAATTCGTATTTATTTAACTGGCCATCTACGTGATTCTGAAGTGAGAAATATTTATGTGAATGTTGGTGATACAGAAGATGCTGTTACAGGTTTTAGAACACCAACACATTATGGACGTCCTGTATGGGATAAAATCTTTGAAGAAATGGTAGATCAGTATCCAGCCACTGATATAGGCGTTTTCTTTTGTGGGCCAAAACCTATTGGAAAACAATTGCATGAGAAATGTAAATTATGGAGCCAAAGCTTTGAAGACGGTACAAAGTTTTTCTATGGAAAAGGTGAGTTTCTCATCATTTATTTTGCTATTATAATCAGTAATATATGAATAACCTTACCAACTTTTTTTCACCATTAAAAAAGAAAATTTTTAAGTTTAAAAGACGTTAATCAATAATTGTTGAGTCGTATTATAAATATATTTTAATAGAGTAATTGAAATTCAATTTTACATAATATAAAGATTATTAATTAATAAAAAAACAACTTAATTGAAATTTGCCCGTGACAAATTATACATATTTGTATGAACATAAATTTTTTTTTTTTTTTTTTTTTTACAAGTCATGAAAATCTTTTCCGGCAATTGTAGCTTTAACGTAACCAGCTCTAATAACAAAATCACCAAATTTTTCGCCATTTATTTTTTCTTTTGCATAACGTTCTAAAATCGGTCTCAACTCTCTCAAGATATCATCCTCTTTCAAATTTTCTTTATATAACTTATTCAATCTTTGACCATAAAAACCGCCTCCTAAATATAAATTATATGTTCCTAATGCTTTTCCTACAAAGGCAATCTCTGCTACATAAGGACGTGCGCAACCATTAGGACATCCTGTCATTCTAACCGTGATTGCATCCTTTTTTAAACCCACTTCAGTAGTAATGGTTTCTAATTTCTCCACAAGTAAAGGAAGATATCTTTCAGATTCTGCCATTGCTAAACCACATGTCGGCAATGCTACACATGACATGGAATTTAGTCGAAGCCCAGTATGCTGCAGGTTATCTAACTTATATTTTTTCAATAGCCCTTCAATCTGTGCTTTGTTCTCTTCGGTGATGTTACCAATAACAAGATGTTGATTAGGTGTTAATCGGAAATCACCTTTATGTGCTTTTGCGATTTCACGCAAACCAGTTTTAATGGGAGATCCGGGTAAATCTTTAACAACACCATTTTCAATGTAAATACCAAAATGCCACATACTATCAAAACCTTTTGTCCAACCATATCGATCTGCATTGTTTTCAAAGGTATATTCACGTGGTGGTTCAAGCTTATATCCTAGCCTGGTTTCAACTTCAGAACGGAACCAATCCAAGCTTCTATCATCGATAGTGTATTTGAGACGTGCATGTTTTCTATTGATTCGGTCCCCAAAATCTCTTTGAACTAACATAACTTTTTCACCAACATCGATGGCCTGTTCAGGAGTACAGAAACCAATAAGTTCTCCAAGGCGTGGATAAGTTTTCTTGTTATTATGAGTCATCCCCATACCACCACCAACAGTAACGTTGTAACCTAACAATTTTTTATTAGTTTTGTCTGCAATTGCTATATACCCCAAGTCATGTGCAAACACATCCACGTCATTATTAGGAGGTACTGCGATTGCAACCTTAAATTTACGTGGAAGATATGTCGAACCATACAATGGTTCAAAATCTTGTACAGCTTTTCCAGCAACAACTTTGTCCTCCAACCAAATTTCATGATATGCTGTTGTTCTAGGGGACAAGTGAGCGCTTAATTTCTTGGAGAATTCATGCACTTGTTCATGAACTTCAGAAAGGGAAGGATTAGAACTGCACATGACATTACGATTAACATCACCACATGCTGCTAATGTGTCCAACAAACACTTGTTAATACCACGAATAGTAGATTTTAAGTTGCGTTTAATAACACCGTGCAATTGAAATGCTTGTCGAGTCGTTAGTTTTAATCCACCATTTGCAAGTGTCTCGGCAATTTCATCCATTTGTAACCACTGCTTGGGCGTAGAAATTCCACCTGGAACACGGACACGTACCATAAATGAGTATGCTTTTTCCAATCCTTGTGCTTTTCGTTCGTCTCGTAAATCTCTATCATCTTGTTGATAAATTCCATGGAATTTTGTCAACTTTGTATCTCTTTCACACAATGCCCCGGTAGAGGTATCTTCCAAGCCTTCACTGATTGTTCCCCTTAAATAATTTGATTCAACTTTCATATCATCATCAGTCTTCTTTTTCTCTACAACGGCAGTACCAAGAAGCTCAACTCCTAAAGCCTTCCAAAATTCTGGTTCCCATGCTTGAAATTCCGTTTCATAACCATCAGCATCTTGATCGTCACCTAATCCAAGACTC